AAAATAATAACACATGTTAGAAACCAGCAGTAGCTTAGAGCAGAGAAGAACTTCAAAAAATACTCCATGAATGGCAAGCGGAAGAAATAGTAACCTGGTTTCGAATCCTCTTTATGTTTTCACCACCCTTGCCGATAATTAGGCCGGCAGCACGAGCTGGTATCAAAAACCTTACTGATATATTTGAAACATCCCCCTTTTGAACCTTTTTTGGAGGAACTTCATTATCAAACTCCCGACCATCGCGCTTCATTTCGAGAGAAGCCCCAACAAAGAAGAGCAAATGAAAGTCCGGCGCATTAAAACAGACCAGGGAGATAACAGTTGACTAACTTTTGTACTTTCAAGAGACAATTTTTATATTCTATGATTAGTTGGCACTTTTTAATTTAATATGCTTTTAATTAAAAAACGACGCTACCTGACATTAATAATTTGCCAGAGTTTTCCTTTAAATTTTCATTAATACTTTTAGGGTCCAAAAAATTAAAAATAAAGATGCAAAACATAATGTAGCGTTCCGAGGCTTTCCGTAGAGTGGAAGAAGGCATAAGTTAGGTTAAATACCTGTTTTCCTAAGACGATGGGGCAAAAGGGGCCTGAGCGTAGCTCGAAGGCTAGCCCACGTGTACAGGAGTCAGACAAATTCTAAAGTGACCGCCAAACGTCCGATAGTCACATGAACATTGCACTGCACATCAAACTGAAGTTTTTGCTATCAGTTAGCCTAAAAAACAATGTCTTCGATTCGACAATCTTATCCCTTTGTATGATACGTTCCAAATCTAATATCTAAAAGCCTATAGTCTGGAAGTAGTGCAGTATATACTGCTTACTTAAAGTGTGCGATTCGAGAAGAGTTGCATCATCAATTTTATCGTTGTTTAGGCTGAATGCGAGCCTTTTCAGTCCATGGCCCGAGTTTCTTGCTACCCGTACCTATCGCGTGCATCTAGCACAACTGCTCAAAAAACCTCCGTTGAACAAGTCTCTTTCTAGTAAGGCTCAAATGAAGAAATTGGGAAAGCGAGAATGAAGCAGCTGTAATAATTTGTTTGTGTGATCACATGACGTTTGGCGGTCACTTTAGGATTTGTCTAGTCGTTGTGCACGTGGGCTAACCTTCGAGCCATGCCCGAACCCATCTATCCTGTCGTCCTCAAAATACATGTATTCAGTTTTACTTGCTGACTTCTTATTACCGGCTAGGAAGTCTCGGGACGCTACAGCAACTACAAGGAAATCGTTCTTTTTATTAGCTGTGATACAAAATGTCCTGCTATGTAGACTATCGTATTATACTGCATGTCGTTTTATTTGGGCACTTAAGATTAACGCTTAGGATGGCTGTGCTGTCACACATAAGTATTTTGAGTTAGTTGTATAACGCCTCATTTATTTGACTTCGTACATAAATTACGGCCGCTCTGGTGATAATCTTGCCTCTTCCAGGCTATAGCATTCCTTCTACAATTTCGGCCTTTTAATAGAAGCATTTAACCATGTTTAATTAGCCTCACGTGCATGCAATGGGGATCATTCAGGAGGGATTACGGCACCCACCGTGGGGACTGTGCGACTTCACTATCTCTTTGAGGGACCGTGCTAACATGATAGTAATGCAACTTTTGAATGGCGATTTCGGCACATGCGTTCATTTGTCTTCTGCCAGTAACCGTAGCTACTTTGTTTAACACAATGCAAGGCTACTAATCGCTCCCCATATGCATTTGTAAGATACACAGCGGCGCAAAGTGCCCGGAAAATGAATTAAAAGCGGTAGCCACACCTTAGGCTATAAACTTAAGTTTAAGATATTCCACAAACCTGTCCGAACCTCCAATTTGATCGTCAATGAGGATCGAATATTAAGTGGTGTTCCGGAATGAGCTTGTGATTGATGAAGAAAAAAAGTGGAGTAGAAGTTGACGAGCTCCAGAAGTATGTATAAGGACGGAGGATTGGGGATAAGTTATAGACACTGCAATTGTTCTGTTATGCTCTCACCAATCACCAGCATGTGCTTAATGCAGACGGTAGGGGGAGGGCAATCCACATGCGTGGAGTTGCCTCTTCTGTTTCTGTGGCGCTTAAGTTTATGCAGCCCTCTGAGCATTTATTGGTCTCCTGAACACCCGATGCATTTCATTTCCCGTAGCGGGCGTCCGGACTCCTCCTAAACGAAATCCAATGAGTGAATAAGTAAAAAAAAGTCAGAAACCTTAAAACCTACTGGTGTCAAAATGTTTTCTTGCGTAAGCATAAAAACGACAGCGAAGTGGTGGTCGAATTTTCGGCTTATGCCAAGGCGTGGATTACAATGTGGTTTTAGAAGAGAATGCATTGATGGGTAAAAAATAACGGTTTCACAGCCTTGTTGATTAGTATTGCACACGATTGAAGAGGAGGCTGGGAATAAGGTCAGTGGAGTGCCTCAGCCGTCTTGTCTTCGGGTCCTGTAGCCTAGACTACTGGTCAAGGACAAATGCAAGGGTGAGAAAGTGGATTTGTGCGCCTTGCATTTGGATGAGACTGAATTATACGCACGAGAGCTTCACCATTGGGGCTTGGCCCGGCGACTTGGCCTCCAGACCCTGCCAGTAGTCTCTCCTTACACCCCCCAGTTCCGCCAAATTGACTAATGCCGGAGGTGCCCTTCAAGCGGATCAAAATAGATGTCGGGCAGGGACGAAGTCCCTTCAGTTTGGTTCTGTGGGTGGACAAGGCGCTGTAAGTTCACCTTTGGTCATCCAACTCAGCCTTTAGATCATTTTAGTTGTCTGCCTCCAACTTCAAGGATGCCTCAGAGAGCTACAATCTACATAGTCTGTGAAACTTTAAATATTTATTGTTATTATTATTACGCAGTGAACAATTCTCACCTTGCGTCTGCCCTGAAGGGTGCCTGTCACCATCGCATGCCTCGAGGTGGCTGTCACACCTCGTACGCCAATCGTCACATTCTTCATCCTCAAAGAAGGCGCACCATAACGGCTCCTCTACAATACCCAACAGGCTGCAACTACGCACTGTTTAAGACAATGTCCCACACTGGCAGCGGTCTTTTTTGCCTACTTTCATAGAATAACAAAACAACTCCCTGAAATTGTTTCTCCTAAAACTGCCCTAAAAAGTCAGTGGACAAAGGAAGTATTTTAGGGTAATTTTACAACGGAATTCGCTTGAGGAACTTTAATTGCATGCCTTAACTTCTGGAAAAAAGGCAACTCGAGGTCCAGCCAACAGTTCTAATCACAACATTGTTATCAATTTGAACGTCTACAATTTACTTCTAAAAGGCCTCAAGGCTCCTGGCGGTTGAGCTTCCGACTTAAGGTTGAGTTTAGTCATTCTTAGCCCTCTCGTACATGAAGCCTTAAGACTCCCCTGAAGATAAAAAGAAGGCATTTCGCCTGGCGAAGGCACTTTGGAGAAGTCCAAGACACCTGCGGCACCACGGTGACCAGGTAAACAATAGACCGCTAGCCTCTTATGGGCGTCCACGCAGACTGACCCAACGATTATCCCCCTGTCTCAGCTCTCAAAGCTTGGAGAAGGCTGTAAGAACGACGCATAATGGGGGACCACCTTAGTCACCCAAATGCCTTTACCTCTGAGACGATACGTCAGAAGTGCCTCACGTCGGTAATTGCATCGACTGCTGGGTCGTGAGGTCAGACGAACAAGAGGTGAGTCAGCGCATCGACTCGCGTGACACGCGTGAGTTCGAACATGGACGCCCTGTAGCGGAAGATTTCAGATGTTTTACGGCCATGACCGGTGTCGTCTGAGCTTCTACTTGATTTCTTGCAATCGCCTCCTCCTCTTGACTAACTATTGTTGTGATTGGAGGGTGGAAGGCGAAGGTAATGCATGTTCACTAACGGCCACGAGCACTGTCACTCCATTTGCTAACAATAATTCTTTTAAGCGATGATTGTGGGGCAGTTGCCAAATTCAGAAAGTCATTTTTAACCCAGTTTCCACCATCAGCAGCCTTTGCTCTTCTCCTGTCACACCAAATTTTCCCACTTAGCAGTCATAGTCAAAATAGTTGTACTTTAAGTCAATTTCCTTTCCTTTTCTATTTATTACAGTATCCCGAAGGAAATGCACAATACCTGGTAGGAAGACGTTGAAGGTAAATGAACTCTCGCTCCATTAAGCCTCACATCTACCTCAATGAAGATGTGGAAGCGCCAACCCCACCCCTTCAGACCGTCTGACCTTAACCTCTATGACATTTTGACCCCCTACCAATAAGAGGAGTCCATCCAACCCAATTGCCTTTTAAAAGTGCACAACTTCTAGCAAAGTCATACGTTTACGCACTTTTTGCCTCAATTTTACGCAATCAAATGAATGACATGAATAACGTGCACAATCATGTGTGCTGAAGTAAATACTTCCCAAATGCCAAGGCTTGCACAACTATTTTAATGGCACTTTTTTCCACATTGTTACTTTTTTAAAATTCAGATGTAGTAAAATTTACTCCCTAACAGTGGAATCCTTTCCAGGAGACCCCTTTATTCCATTGTTTTTGTTGGGAAGTGCAATTTGTCAACCAATTAACTTCGTCCTGAAAGGTGACAATCCAGTTAGCCTGCCCAGCTGGCTCAAAATTTCTACCCTTAGCAAGGATAATAAACCGAGGTAACAACGCTTCAAACAAACGTTGATAGCAGTTAATGCACTGCGTAATGTGGCGACGCATCCTCGAGCCTCTGTTCTCACCGCATTGCTTATCGATTAATTGCTCTGACCAATCGATTTTGTTATATTGCGACGACCTACCAAACCAACGGGATGATAATCAGGTCTACTCAGCCGCAGTAGCTCGTACAAGTAATCAGCATTGTCAATGGAGCAACCGCCTAGTATTGAGGACGTTCAGTAAATCTTGTGCACACGGAACAACTTTTTAAAAAAGATTCGAAGCATTTTAACAAG